CAGCAAAATCCGAGAGGAACTAAAAGTTTTCAGCTCAGTGTTGATATCAGGCACAAAAACAGCCCAACTCAGCATGTCAATAATGTCTGGTGAAAATCCAGTGTAGATTATTGATCACTTTCAAATAAACAAACTCACTGACAATCATTACAATGATTGACTGACTCTTAGGACACAACAGGAAGAAATCTCGGAGGATACATTTTGATGCTAAACTGACCAAAACATGGTAGAGAAAATGGAGAGAATAACGTCATCTTTTGTCATTGCTGCAGCCATTTGCTGTTGGCTGCACAGTAACAAGGGGAACCTGTGTCAGCACTCTGCCAGGATCCTGGAAATATCTGACTCCAGTTTTCCTTCCTTTCTGTGTGCAATTTAGGCAGGGGACAAAAAGAAAAATAGCCTCACATGACGGAATAATCTTTTCACCAAAAGGGACAATTGTCTGGTGTTCAAAGCGAGACAGAAACCAATGCAAACAATGAGGTGTTGGGGAGGGTTCCCGAGTGGCATGGAAGTTCATGGAAAAACCTTTTAAAATAATTGATGTTGAGGAAAGGTGTTAGTAAAGGTGGGAGTGTTCCCACCTATCGTTACAGGACTAAACAGCCAATCAATTCTGACGCAGACGTGCCGATGGAACACAGTAAGATGTCAGTACTACAGTAAGAGAAGCACAGAATAATCTCTGCCACCTTCCCTTAAGAAAGCAGTGCAGATTTTAGTGTATTCCTGTGATGGCTACAAAAAAAAAAGGCCAGCTTCCAGGACTGGGTCATGTGATCACCCCTCCTAACTCTTCCTGCCCGAGTCAAAATCAATAGGATATTATTGAAGGCCTCAGTTTAGGGAGAGAAAAACAACTTGATTTGGAGGACAGTTAAAAATACTGTACATGAGTGAATGTTGAAAACATTTTCTTTCCTTATAAACAAAAAGACATTATTATTATTACTGTGTTAAAAGATTCCTGATATACTTGCGTACAACATCACAAAACATCGAACTTTGGCACAATTTTAGAAATAGGCATCTAGTAACTGGTGTTTACTTTGCCCTGATTCCAATAATTCTCTCATATTTTACAATTTGATAAACAAGGCTTTATTTTTATCCCAATCTCCACAGTTGCGGCAGAATCAGCTGAATCATCTTTTCCTGTTTAGCATACAAGTAACAGAGGACCCAGAAGGTACAAGGGTTAACCTTTCACGTGTTTATTACATAATTATATAGTTATCACCAATGTATTTGGCCTTCAGGTGATCACTTCACATATAATCCACAAATGCTGGAGCCTACACTGACCAAATATAAAGCTGTGGTGACTCATCACACGTCATATGACATACATGACTGCCAAATTTTGTGCACCTACAACACACGGTGTCCAAGGTGAAGCAGTTTTTGACACCTGTGTGCTACAGGCAAAACTGATCCCCTACATATTTGCATGGGTTTAAAGTTCATTATACCTATATTTAGTTAAAATACAAAACTGGAACACCTGTGTGCTACAGGCAAAACTGAACCACTACATATTTGCATGGGTTTAATCATACATATATTTAGTTAAAATACAAAACTGAAAAAAAAAGAAATTCACCAAAGGTTTGTCTTTGTTTTGTTGATTGTGTTGTTTTTGGTATTTGTTGTTGTTGTTTACTGTTGGCCTTCCAATCCTTAGTGATGCCTCCATATTAGAATATCTTCAGAACTAGCATTTAGACCTTCAAAATCAGTTGTGACTTTGGTCACAACCAAAAATTTGGGAAGAATGTGATTTCATCAGAATTGTTTCCTTTTTTTAAACACATTCTCTGCTTTACAGAGGTGTTGCAATGCGTTCTTCTGCAGCATTAACCACTTTTATGAAGCAACCTTTTCACCAAGACAGGAACTTTTGACACTGACACAGACTTCTTACATCCTGTGTGGCTGCGACCGAATAACAACACACATACTTGATATACATCCTGTATAATCATGCAGTGGAAGACATTGGATAAACAGACGGTTCGGTGTGGCTAACGCCACGTTCTAAACCCTCTAAAGGATGAACGCTGTGTTCCAATCTGTCAACATAAATCCATGACAAGCAGCATTAACGTTACCTGGCTCTCATGCAGCTAACGAGACTCTGCTTCATTGCAGCGGGCCTACGCGGTGCACAGTGTGGGCTGAAAAGAAGCACGACACCACCCTTTCAAGTGATGTCCACCCCGCAGCCCCACCTTGTCCGAAACATCGATATCCGCAGACGCTTGCGTTATCGGTGTCTGTTTACCTTGTGTAGAATAAATGGGGTGCCAATGTTTGCTTAGCCAGTGGCTATCGGCTAACTAGCCTTCGTATCGCTCAGGTTTGCGGACGGAAGCTAAGCTAATTAGCATTAGCCGGGGCTCAGTGTACAGCAAACACAGAGAAGATGGACAGGAGAGAATGGCAGCAGATGCCAGCGGGTGATTTTACCTGTAAAAACGTCAACGGGTGTTGTTCGAAGCCGTCCCTCAGCCCCCCACCCTCCTCTGAGTGCGGTCGCTGCTTCTCAGTTTACCCACTGTGATGCTCCTGTGTTCAGTTTGCGCCGTACTCCCCCCTCCACCAGCGCTCAGGACGCTGCCATGTTCCTGCTTCCACAAGTGCAAAACTGCGCATGCGGGGAAAGCTGCCTGTCATGCGGCTGTCAGCTGATTGGTTTGTCAGTACCCAGAATTACCGAGATAACTGACTCAGGATCAGTTGCTTTGGCAGTTTTAACTCGGTTTGAATTCATAGATACAGTAGAAGCTGACCTCAAAACAGTTTATGTGATTTATCTTAGCGCCGGTAAATTATTACTTTCATTTGTTGAAAACACAGAACAAGGTTTGAAAAACCAATAGCGATATTATATCTGTAATATAGAAACTACCCTGAGATTTAATAAAGGAGGAACTATAAAAGTACTATCAGTGTTTTTAATGAACCTCCTAACTGTATTTGCGAAAGAAAACAAGACCCACTCAAAATATGTTAAAACATTAGCATATTTCCAATCCCTGTCCCTTCTAAAGCAAATAAACTATAGACCAGCAAACGAATGTTGTTTTCCTAAAAACCACAAATAAACTATAGACCAGCAAACGAATTAATGTTGTTTTCTTAAAAACCTGTTTTGGACTAACGAGTATTCTTTATGTACTCTTGATTTACATTCTAATTATATAATCAGACAATCCTGCCCTCTAGGGACAATAGTTTGTAATGCAAGAGGATTTGAGTACACAAGCGAACACACGTAGACATAATCACACACTATCTACGACAAGGAAGAGAAACAGCGCAGTAGAAATGACTGATTTGTACTGTTTCCTTCTGAAGATATTAAAAGTGTTCATCATCTAAGGGTTTGTATTGTTCTAACACCATTTGTTTTTATCGCTGTTGTGGTTTACTGGGTGTTATATTTTTGTTGTTGTGGTTTACTGGGTGTTATATTTTCGTGCCCATATTGATTCCCTGCCCCCCTCCCCTCCCTAAATCCCATTAACTCACTGCCCATTTTATATCTGTGACAGTTTATAGCCAGATACTGAATTTAAACATCCATTACTTTCGGATTGATCAGAAAAGCTAAAACACAGCATCACCCCCCGAATAAATCACTGTCACGACACGTTCTGACCGATTCCAACTTAAGGCTAGTGTTTCACTTCGCAATGGAATGAGTAGTGACTCACCTAGACTGAAGGTAAAGTGGAAACATCTTGGCCTCGGTGAGTGAGTGATGTCGCACGGTGAAGGTTGAGCGGGACAGCTCAGAGTGGGTCACAATATGAGGCATCTGAGTAGCTGACCAATCATGCGCTGCCCGTTAGTCTAATTCAATTACAGCGTGAGGGGGGAAAGAAAAGAGTTTCCTTCTTAACTCTCAGAACCCGCTGTTACAAAATTGATAATAATGTCATTTAGGCTTCAGTGAAAGGGAAGAAGAGAGCTGAGCAGCATTCGTTCCGTGAAGTTTCTGTCCAGCTTACGTGGACCGTGACAGGCCACAAAGTTGAACCTCTGTTTGTGCAACAACAGCCGTTACATTCAAAAGAAACAGTTTTTGTTAAATCTTAGTAGTACTTTTTCCCCAGTACCAGGTGTAAATTGTGTCGGAAGGACAAGGTGTAGTGAGACCTGCTATGACACGGTTTAGACATGGGGCACCATGTGTAAAAGACACGGGATTAAAGAGGCACGTTTAAAGAGGGCCGTGGAGATGAAGTTAGGGGGTGTGAGAAGACAAGATTTAAAGATTTAAAGATTTAAAGACAATTAGGTATAAAACACCGCACACAGTGTGTATACTTATGTGTGTGTAAGAATATTAAATTAGATTCGATTGAATTGATTGGAAATCGACATAAAACGTAATGTAACATACGTTATTTTTATAACGGTATTTTTTATTTTTTATAATTTATATTAATGTAACAACGTAACATAAAATTAGAGATGAACACAGACGTCAGACGGTCATGATTGAGAAACTCATTTTTTGCTCAAAATGCTATGGTAAGAGAGTTAATTCTTGCCAGGACATTCTCACGGCAAACAGCAGCAGAGGAGCTAAGCTACGCTAACACATAATCTTATAGGCATGTTATAACCACAGGACAAACCAGAACCTCAGATTTTAATTTGACCACCGACTTTTCAGAGAGTTTACCTCCAGTCGGTTGCGTTTTCGCTTCGTGGCTTGAATCGAAGCCTTAAACCACAGTTTTTCTTTTTTAAGTGTGAGCTCACTGAGTTAGCTTCTGCACTGCTATCATGGTGAGTAGCTACTATCTTTCACTGGAAATATATTTGATTAAAAACAAACAAACAAAAACAGCAGCAGAAAAATTAAAGTAAACTTCAAAACAGCAAACGTGTGTTTTTAATTGGATTTAAATACAGTGAACAGCACCTGATGCTCGGGTAAAAAAAAGCCTTTAACAGTTAGCTCACAAGCTAGTTATAGATGTTATAATTTTACCCAGTAGTTATGGGATGTCTGCACTTTCCTCTCTTCTGTTGTGATGTTAAAACACCGCATTTAGTTACTTATAACTGCAGTACAAGTTCTAATAAAGGGAAGTTCACTGTCATAAAATATTAATAAAAAATAAATCAAGAACAGAATCAGTGTCAGGACGTAATTTGGAAGAAATCATCAACAAGTGTCAGTTTTTATGTTCGGCCTGCGTATGATACTTTCAGACTAAACTAAATAAGTTTACAAGTTGTTTTTTTTTTTCATTTTAATGAAAAGTGTAACAGGAAAGAAAAAAACACACAACGTGAGACACCTAGGGGGCGCTAAAGTCCCACTTTAAATACTGTCACCCAAGCCAAATCTCCCTTCTGAGATATTGAAGTTTCCATAAAAAAAAGTACCTTCATTTTGTCTCTCTATAGGCTGAGTTTGGCTTTAACGAACATCATCAGAATGAGGTCATCAACTACATGAGATTTGCACGTTCCAAGCGAATCCTGAGGCTGAAGACCATCGATTCCTGCTTTGAGGAACTCAAAGACAGCAGGTGAGTGATGACGATGACGTCACCGTTTCCTAAACAACTCTCTTCTTCCTCTGATTCATCTCTGGTTTACTTCCATTTCCTCCTGAAGGCTGGTGGACGAGACCTTCACCGTGGACGAGGTGAAGGAGATGCTGGACGGGCTGCAGGTGGTGGTCACAGGTGAGGTGGAGATGGAGCTGATCAACACGGCCCACACCAACGTCCTGCTGCTGCGGCAGCTCTTCTCACAGGCAGAGAAGTTTTACCTGCGACTGCAGAGTGACATCTCAGAACTGGAGAACAGGTGGGTGCAGGAAATGTTTGGATTGTTAGTTTAAATTTATATATATTTTTTAAAAAATCCAGTAAACTAAATGGATAGTAACAAGTATATCAGGAGTCCACCACTGGGGGTCTCCCTCTAAGGAGCAACTACCCCACTCCCCAACACCACATACTGTACATTTGCAAACAAGCACAAGCATAAACAAAAATAGACACAAATCACAATTTTTATTATTTGAGTTTTAAAGATTTTTTTATAACTCCATAATAAATTTAAGCCAAAAGTCACTTTTTCTATGAAAAACAACACCCCCCCCCCCAAAAAAATCTAATAATATCCCTAGTTAAATGTTTGTCTCTCAGATGCAGCAGGAACCAGAGAAGAACTTTTCTGTGTTGTTAAATGTTATGTATCTTATCTATGGACTCACACCCCTTTAGACTTGTGTAGTCGGGGATCGAACCCCCACCCTCTGGTTAGAAAGCAACTCCTCCCCACAAGTTTCACATAAACACAGTACTGCCCTTGTTGTGAAGCATTTCCCCCCCCTCCCCCGAAAGTTTGAACAAAAACAATAAAAACCTGTGTCTGTGATAACAATGAAAAAATAATGAGGAAAAAAAAACAATTAAAACAGTGCTCAAAAAAAAAAAAAAAAATTCCAGCATCTACGTATTCAGTTCTTCTTTTCAGTGAAACTTAACTGCTGACCTCAGGAACCTTTCACTTTGTCAAAGAAAAGACATTTTGTTAGCAGTATAAACACGAGGGGGGGGGGGGGGGTTTTCCTTTTCTTGCCTCATACGTGACTTTCAACCTTACGATGTAAAATGTGAGGAATACGCCCCACGTCAGGGTCTACGTGTGCAGAGCTGCTTTTAAAAAACCACATTGAACTTTGAAAACTGATCTTCACCACAGGTTTACAGCTCACGGCAGCAGTGTTAAACTGCCATAGTGACGATGTGAGAAAAACAAATCAATCAAATCAGTGTTTTTGTCTGTTTTATCTTTATATTAATACAGCAGAAAAAAAAGCAGCAGAAAGTTCAATTGGTTTATTTATATCACCAAAGTCACGTTCAACTTTATGACTAAAAAACCCATTCAATATTTGACCATTTATTATTACTTTACAAAATGTACCGTCACCTGAATGATCTGTGAAAGTCTGTGATTATTACCAAACTGCTGCGTTAGGTCACGCTTCAAAAAATGCAAATTTTGAAGAAGAAAAAAAAAAAAAAGATGTGAAAGATCACAAGGTGACCGCAGAAAACTGAAGTCAGATTTAATCACATGACTACATGTCAAAAAGCAGAACAAGTCACAAAAAGGTCAAAGCAAAAAAAAACAAAAAATAACAACTTTTTTTTTAGCCAAAAATATTTGATTCCACTAAAGTGCTGAAATGTGACCTTTTCAGTCTGATTTTTCTTTTGTGTTTATTTAAATAAAAATATTTTTACTATTTACCCCATCACTTCATGTAGGAAAATGTTTATAAATAAAACACAAAAGATAATGATTTGCTTTTTCTTACATTGATATCATGGCAGAAGGAAAAAAAAAATCCTTGACTGATTTAATTAATAACTACAATGTGATTAAATTGCCTTTTTAAATGGTTTCACGATGCATTTAAGTTGATTTTTTTTCTCTTTCCATCTCCGTTCAGAGAGCTGTTGGAACAAGTGGCTGAATTTGAGAAGACCGATTTTAAAAGCACTGACAAGGTGAGAATAAAAGCTGTGGTCGTCACTCATCACGTCTTCAAACGTGACACATTCACTGTACAATACGCCTACATGAAACATTCTGCACTTGGATGCAACCCAGTACAGTGAAAGTAGCTCTGCATGTCAGACGAAGGGTCCTGTGAAGTGACGTGAAGCCGAGCAGATCAGAAATACATTTCTCCGTCCGCCTGGCACCAAGAAAAAAAGAAAAATTGTCTCTGGGGTCACCGGAGATTTGTGATGTCAAAATGGGGTCACAAGCCAAAAATAACAGGGAACACTGACCAAAATAAAGACATTTTGATGAAAAAAAAAATTTTTTTTTCATCAATCAGACTCTGGAATGGTTTGGGGCTGCATTTCAGCCAGCAACCAGCACAGGACTCTGGAATGGTTTGGGGCTGCATTTTAGCCAACAACCAGCACAGACTGATTTAACTTATTCATATATGATATACATTGTTACCTTTACAGCATTTAATACATGTTTTTCATATTTATTTTAATTGTAATTTCCCAGAGTTCACTTCTCTGCTGCTGTAATGACCAGTGTGATTTACTGGATTGTGTTTCTCGTCTGTTCTGTTGCCAGATTAACCAGGAGATGAGCAAACCCAAGTTAGCGCCACTGAACGAAGGCGGGGTCTCGGAACTTCTCAACAAAGTAAAAAAAAAAACGCAGTCCAGATTCAGTTTGAATTATTTTTCATTATCATCGTCCAGTGTTAACACGAGTGTTAACACAGATCTACGTCAAATGTTTTTCTCCAGGAGATTTCAAGACTACAGGAGGAGAACACCAAACTGAAATCAAGGTTACGCACTTTAGAAACACAGGTGATAAAAAAAATAGAACAAAACATTTTTTAATGTCTTTTTTGGTCAATTTATTGATATTAACGTCTTTGTGCTGGGATTACTTTTTTTTTTTCCTCAGGCCATGAGTGCACTGGACGAGAGCACAAAGACAAAGCAAGCGCTGAAGGACCTGCAGAAGGTTCAGGGAGAACAGCAGGTAGATGTCGCCGAGGCTGGAATTAGATTTACATTTTGCCACAGCTTTGATTCTTTTTTGCATTTGTAAATTGTTTGTTATTTTGATTTATGTGCCGTCTTCTGGATCTGCACTGGTGAGTGTCCAGATTGGTGTGAATAGAAGTAGAAAACCTTAGAGACATTCACATGAATTCAAACATGTTGACGTCTTTAACGCAGGACAGATGAATAATGTAGCAAAAAAAACTTAAATAATACAAATAAATAGACTTTAGCTAGTGCAAGAGGAGCATGAATGTAGCAGTAAAAGTACAAAACAGTTTGTATTTCTTACCTAATGTGTTGACACTGAGAATGTCCTTCCTGTCCTCCAAGTCCGCTGCTCAATCCCAGGAGATCAACAGTCTGGAGGACACCGTGGCGGCTCTGAAAGACGACTACGAAAAGTCCCTCAGCGTCAACGCCGCCTCTCAGAAGGACCTGCAGGAGAACCTGGTGTCTGCGAAACACGATCTGCTCAGGGTTCAGGAACAGCTGACCCTGGCTGAGAAGGTACGACATCATCACTGTGGTCCACACCCACAGGGGACAGAGTCCTAGGGAATCTGTAGCGTGTTTATTTCTTCTGTGTCGTGTCGTGTGTGTTTAGGAGCTGGAGAAGAAGTTCCAGGAGACTGCTGCCTATCGCAACATGAAGGAAATCCTGACCAAGAAGAACGATCAGATCAAAGACCTGAGGAAACAATTGCAGAGGTGAGGATGGAGTGATGAAAATTCTTTGCTCTGGACCAGACCAAAAAATAAATAAAACTCAACACCTCCTTTGTCTTGCCTTTGTTTCAGATACGAGCCCAGTGAATGAGTTCAGTAAGGAATTAAAAACAAAACAAAGAAATAAACAGTAAATGAACCAATCAGCTCCAATCTTAACTCCAAAAGTCCAGACTCAGAAACCAAGCCCTTCCGTAGGGAACTGTGTTTTTGAGTCGCCGTGGCAACTCCCAGCAATCATCTGCCATCACCAAATGAGACGTTCTGGACCAAACTACCAATCAAGACCGAGTCGAGACGAATGATGAAGCAGAGTCTTAAACCATGACAAATTTCTTCAGACAATTTTTCTATGCAACTGTTGTGTACATCATGTCCCTGTTGGAGAGGCCTTTCCACCAGTGTGATGAGAGTCTGTCTGTTCTGTACAGACAGACTCATCACACTGCAGTTTAAAAACACTATCAAATAAAAGTGTGACATTTGTAGCCTTATTTCAACAGCTAATCATTATATTCTTATTTTAGGTCTTTTTAAATCCCTTAAACAGTCGATAGTTATTTTAACAAACTGAGATGGAGCGTTAGGTTTACGTTAAATATAATTAGAAATAAAAATTGGAAAATCTGACTTTCTGTGAAGGTCTGATTATTAAAAAATAAATAATATTAAAATAAAACTAAACTACTTTTAACTTGCAGCTTTTTCAGCCTTTCCTCTTGTGTATGAAATGTCATAACAGACGATTCTTATATTTACCCAAACAAACAGCAAATGTTATGGTTGTATTTTTGTAATGTTGTGTCTGATGGAGTGTAAATGAAATGAATAAAGATATATAAATATACATGTACTGTATACATACGTCATAGTCATATATTAATGCTCTTGTAGAGTACGGTACATCTGCTAACGTTACAGTAGGTGTGCATTTGTTTGTATTGTGCAAAGTATGGGAAAAATAAAAGCTAATGCTAAATCAATGCAGGTGTTATTCTCTCTTTTTTTAACATTAAAAACATTAACGGACTAATTTTTCAATGCATGATCCAACACTTTATTACAGCCAATACAGTAGCGCTAGCCTTAGTTTATGTGAGGTGATCAAATAAAGCAATAAAGTTAAAAATACAGAAAAAATACAGTAGCAACAACATTGCAGAGGAATAACACCAGCATTAGCAGGATAGAAAAATAAATATATATATGTAATTCTAAAAGAGTGCTAGGTTAGCAAGAGCAGCTAAGTCACTAAGAGCAAAAACTTTGGACTAAAGATAAAAATGAACCAAAAAAAAAAAAAAAAAAAAAAAACAAGGGTTAAATGGTAGCAAAACAAAACATTGTCTAACCAAATTTTTCTTTTGCTATTTTAAAAGGAAAAGGCTAGCTAGTAGAGGGAAGACAAAACTAGATTGCCTCTCATTAGATAACAGTTTAACCAAGCCATAGGTTAGCTAATGAACCAAAAAAACTCAGACAGTTTAGGTCGCCCCCTGTAGGGATATAGGGGAGATATTCTTTGCAGGAATGTTAACCACATATGCATATTTATATTGTTGGCAATAAATAAAAAAAGGAGATAAAATTTGGTTCCACTCTGTGACCTTATCACATGACCCGAATGGTTCCATTAAATAATAACATTGTTCCATATTTTTAGAAGATGTTTGACACATTTGTCAATACTCTACAACAAGAAGAACAAAACCCAAGATGGTTCAATGCCAGGAAATTGTTATAAATGCCTCGCTCAGCTGCTGGTTCTAAATCAAAGTACTGAAAAGAAAAACTACAGCGCACACACACGCACAAACACACGCACACGTTCGTGGTATTTTTCTTTTCTGCTGATTTGTTTCTCAAAAGCCTGTTGCTAGCGTCATATCTCTGTAAACCCCAGATTGTGAGATAGTGGCAGAGGAAGAAAGAGAGAGAGAAAGATATCACACACAGAGGTCACATTTCAGTTGACTCTCACCCCCACCGTACCCCCCCGTCTCCCTCCTCCGTTTTCACTGAAACTCTCGCCATAGTTTGTGCTCAGTTAAACCTCAGCAGCGTTTCTCTGTCCAACACAAATGTGTTTGAAACCAAAAAATGAAACCAAAAAATGACAGCTGATGTCACTTGTTTTTTAACTTCATTATACCGTAGAATCAATAACAGAATGACTCATTTTGAGCGTGTCACATTATCAGGGTTGCCTCTGTTCAATCTAGCTTGGCATCGTTCCAAACACCAAACAGTTACCACCTGGGCTGGAGGCTGTGGTCGTCTCACTGTGAGAACATGTCTACTTCATGGTCCTCAAACCCAGTGGTCCTTAATTATTTTCATGTCATCCTTGGGGACAGAAATGTTTTCACATCCCTCCCACCCACACAAACTGAAATACTGTTGAGAACCTGGTAACATGTATATGTTTTATCTGTACAAACCAATGTATCAGTTGCTGCCACCTAGTGACTGGGGGCTTGTTATCATTCGAGCATTAGAGCAGTGGTACACTTATGTCCAGCGTTAGAGCAGGGTGCCCAACCCCGTGACGGTCCGTAGGTCATTTGGTACCGGGCCACAGCAAAAAAAAAAAAACCAAAACTTCAGTTTGACTAATTTACTTCTTTCTATTCATCAACTGAGTAACTTCTCAGAATGACTAATTTTACTCTGACATACTGCATCATGATTCCAGTCACTCTGGTCAGAGCGATGCTGAGGCTTTGATATCATGCAGTCCCTGACTTGACAGCATGTCATAGTGAAACCTGCACTGCAGACTTCAACCAAAGTCAAGGCAGGAGCAGTGTTGCCTTCACAGTCTTTTCTACAGCTTTACAAAACCCAGAGAAGAGCGTGTTTTCAGCCTTACCTCAAACCGTGACTGACGTTAGCCACAGATTAAGAGACGCACTAAAACACCCAATATGAGCCTCAGGTGTACAGCTTGGTCAGCAGCAGGTTGGCCACGCCCTCAAAGGGCAACCGGCCAATAGCATGCCTGTAAGGCACAGTGGACAAAAAAAAAAACAGTAGTTCAGAACATTTGGCTGTATATTAAAATGAATGTGAATAAAAGAAAATTGACATAATAAAAACAATGATGGTCATATGTGTTTTAAATGACCCACTTCACCCTGGGTCTGACCTCAGCCTACAGTAGACTGCAGGAGGGCATGCCTTCAGTCTCTATTTTGGTCCACAGATGAACTTGACTTCTGTTCCCACGTTCTATCAAGTACCCACAGTTTCAGACCTGAGGATGTGTTTTTGACAGTTTGTCAGTGAAACCTCACCGTCTACCACTTTCTTCAACAACCTGTCCTCAGTAGAAAACATCTGTCGTGACAAGACTTCTGGACCACACTACTATCAAAACTGAGAATCGTTACTCGCGGTTCTCCTGCACACATGCAGGTTTCAGGTGATCGTGGTGATACTGAAAAAAAAAGAAAAAGAAAAAAGAAAAGTATTAAAAATCTCAAAGAAAAAAAGAAAAAGAAAAAAAGAAAAGTATTAAGTATTAAAAATCTCAGACATTATTTCTGTCATTGGAAGTGCAGTAAAAAAAAAACAAAAACAAAATATACACATTTATACTCAATGAGAGCATAACACCTTAGCATTCATATCATGAATCATAGCCAAGAATGTATGTATAATACTAAGGCTACAGTAGCTAGTAGAGGCAGAACAGTAAAAACTAGAATTTTTTTGTTCTTCTATGATCTGAAGCGGAGTAGGAGTAAAAAGTATCCCCTAAATCACTTCATAGGTACTACATAGTACACGTACTGAAAAAAAGTAAACTTACTTCATTACAAACCTAAAATAGCTATAAAAACATAACTGTAAAGTTAGCCAAGAGGGCAACTAAAGGTTGGCAAAAAGGTTGCTAGGTTTCAATGCTCAAAATGGGACATTTAACACAGCGCTGAGTTCACGTATCACCGTCAGACTGTCTTCCCTCTGCCGACAGTCCACAGAACACACACAGTCTGACAGAAATTCACTACTTCAAACAGCATCAAGTGCCTCCTCTGGTTCTCAGTTTCATGCATCACTCGTCATCTGTGCTTACACAGAAATATGTCTCCCACCCCACTCTGATAGAGGCTTTCAGAACTGAAATCTAGTCAACTGTGGAGGCATGTGGGCGCATTGTTTTGTTTTTGTAAACCTGACGGTCACAACTGAGTGGGCATCGACTAAAGAGTCCCAGCGTCCTGGTTGGAACCGACACCCACACCTGTCGTACACGAGACCATCCTTTGAAAGAAGGGGCGTCTGTCAAGGCTGCACGGCTGGATGACTGAGTTAACAAAAAAAAAGAAACAGAACAGAAAGAAAGAAAGAAAAAACAAATGAGGAAAAAAAAGGGAAGAAACATGATGTTGAGTAGTGTGAAGAGAACAGAGCTGTGTCGTGGTGAGCTGTCGTTTTGTGCAATGAGTGATGGTATGTCAACACGTGATCCAGGAGAGGAAACCATATAAAGCCGATGAAGATGTGTGACGTGACTTCAGCTTCACTCTGGTGACAACACAGCACAGTAACCCCGACAACTCTCTTCACTGACGGTAAGTCAATAGTTAAACACGTTGACTTTTTCATCTTGTGTTTTTTTTAATTTTTTTTTTTTTAAATTAACATCATTTAAATTAACATTTTTTTATCTCCTTATTTAAATTAACGTCTCACACATTTTTTTTATCTCCTTATCTCCCTCGTTTGTGTGAATTAATTGTAACATCTGAATTCTGATTTTTATTTTCAGATAAGATGGAGGATCAATTTTCAGACTTCATGAACACCGAATCTTATGATTACGAAAACGTGAGTACGAATCTGTTGAAAAATAAATCTGTCAAGTTTATATAAAGCAGGAAGTAATCTGTTCTATTCTTTTGATAATGCACAAACTGCAGTATCTACTGTTGCTGCTCGTACAGTCAGTCACTGTATGTGCAGCATACATGCAAACATGACGCAGGATAAAGAAATAAAAGACGAGTCAAAAGATCAGACCAAAAAAAAAACATATCGCTAAAGTTATTGTAAAGATGGCAATAAAAAATATAAAAAGTATATCATAAAAATGAAGGCTTAAAATGTTTACCCAGGAACAGTACAAATGGTTGTAGCAAAAACAAAATTAACAAAAATTGAGAAATAAACACAAAATAGGCCAGAAGTGAAATAATACATTTTGTCAAACGTACCAACATAAATTAGACCAGCAGATGGCTCTGTTAGCCATAAGAAAAAGAAAAATGAATAATAATCCAAGCCCAGATTACAGCTAAAGGTTGAAATATGAAACAAAGGTTGCAGAATATAGCATATATTTAAAAAAAAGTGAAACAACAAATATTGATTGAAAATATATTTAGATTAAATACTGGACTGGTCCCAGAAAACCCATTCAGGTGCTTTGTTTGGGACCTGACCCATACTTTTTTTTTGCTTGTTTTAGGCTGTTGCCATTGTGTTTGTGAAAGAAAATACAAAACTACACTTTGTGATCCACTGGGAGATAACCTCACTCAGACATCTGAGATATTTAAATGTCACAGTCGGTGTCAACGTCACATTTTCCACCGTGATGTTTATCTCTGCTCCACATCTAAACTCTGATGGCTCCAGGGCCCCCTACATGATCTGTGGGGCCCCTTCTCTGCAGCCCCTAGGGATGGTTTAACCCCCCGAGGCTTGGAAAGCAGCAGGAAGTTGTGCAGTAGTGTGGTTTCTCCTGTGCACAGATATAACACATGCACCTGACACCAGTGGTTAAAAACGTACGTCACAGGCAGGATTCAGCGCAAAGTCAGTGTCGCTGCTACCACGCGGCTTCTGAAACTGTGAAAAGGTCTCAGTACGAAGATGATCAGGGAAATGGGGAAAAACCAACCAACCCATCCTGCTTTAGCTTACCTCAGCCTTCTTCTGTTTTCAGGACACTCTTGACTATAGCACAGGTCCAACTGAAAACCCACAGATGTGTGACAGATCCAGTGCCTGGGAGTTTCGTCGTCAGTACGAAGCTCCGCTCTTTTGGGTCATCTTTATCGTCGGCGCCGTGGGCAACCTGATGGTGGTCTGGATCTACACCACCGTTCGCAACCGCCTGAAAACAATGACGGCCGTGTACCCGCTGCACCTGGCGGCGGCCGACCTCCCC